GAGGATGTCTTGCCTCGGTGTTGTCGTATAGTGAAGATTGTACGGGCGGTCATTGACGAGGGTATCTTCCCTAAGGTCTCTACTGTGTGGCGAGTACTGGATGCCATGGTTGCGGAGGCATAGGGGGAACTATTGTACCACAGACATCACGCGAGGACGGGGGGAATCAATGGCCAAGGAGGCAGACCAGGCACAGGAGGCACAGGAGGTGAAGGAGAGATTATCAGGCACACCCAGTAGGACCTATTATTATTTTGATGGTTTACTATAGTTTGTAATTTTTTCCTGACATTGTTACTACATTTTGGATTTGGTGTTGTATGAAGTTTTACTATTATATTTTTATATTATTTTGTATGTCTACTATTTTATTTGACATCATTCTTCATAATTCATCTGAAAACAAATACACAACTTGTTATAAAAAAATTGTTCTGATATACTTCGGAGATGTATCTCTAAAATATTACCTGAGACGCATCTCTGGAACAATTAAAAAATGGGTTATGGGAGACATGCTCTGAGTGTTTAAGGTTTAAAATTGTTTCGAAGATATATCTCCAGAATATTTATACGCTCAATAAGAAGTGGGGTGCGTCCGGAAATATATCTCCGAAACCTGGGGGTATAATGGGAACTTCATACGGTGAGTAAGAAATGCATAGGGTGGAAAAAGAAATTATCTTTGAGGATTTGCTTGATGTTTGGTCATGTGACATATTCTTCCCTTGGCCCATGAACGGTGATGATTGAAATGCCTTGGTTATTTGGGCTTAGATGAATCCACACCAAAAAATCCAACATGAATTAAACTTGAATAAATCAATTTTGAATGAATGAATGTCTTGCATTTTCATGCCATTTAAGCAAAGATGAATCAAAACCAAAGCTTGATCCTTCACTTGATCAAATGAAACCCATCATGAATCAAATTGTGCACGTCTATAAAATTAAAGGTCATGACTTTAGGGAATTAGGTCAAATGCTCCAAGCTTGAACACTTTATTATTTGAATCACACATGGATTTGGCTAACCAAAAACCCTAATTGAAATAATGTTTGATCACATGATGATTTCCAACACAACACCTTGAACTTTGATACATATTTGTCTCCAGAATGGCCTATGAATTGTAAATGAAGCAATTCTAACTTGTTTGATCAAGATTAGGTCAAAATTTTCTTCGAATTGAATCATGAATGAATGACCATTAAAACAACCTCAAAAAGACTTCACCCTTAACAAGCCATCATGCTTGAGAAATTGTGTAGTGTTATATTTGTGAGAGTTCCAAACGGGGCGGTACCAGGGTTCTCGCCTAGCGGGATATTATCTGGGCAGCATCCTAATAGAATGCGGGGCTCGCCCTTGGGGTAGGTGACATGTATAGTACAATTATCTCCTATTATTCATATGAGAACGAGCCATATCATAACTTCCTAGAAAGTATCTAGTCAACAGTGTCTCTTAGTCATGGGGGCGGTTAGTGTCTCTAAGGATTTCCTAAACCCTAGGCCCAAAAGACCCCCCCCCCCCCCCACACACACACACACACATATATATATATATATATATATATATATATATATATATATATATATATATATATATATATATATATATATATATATATATATATATATATATATATATATATATATATATATATATATATATATATATATATATATATATATATATATATATATATATATATATATATATATATATATATATATATATATATATATATATATATATATATATATATATATATATATATATATATATATATATATATATATATATATATATATATATATATATATATATATATATATATATATATATATAATTCTCCCCTAGCGGAAGAAGATGGTAAGTCATAACTTACTCATAATGTCCAAAGCACAACGCTTATGCACAAAGCCTCTCACCTCATGTGAGTAGGTCCTCTAAAACCGTTGTAACATTATCATACAAGGCTTCTCACCACCGTGGACAAATCCTAACCACCATACAATTGTTATAAACCTACTAAGGCCTCTGAGTATCTCATATCTTCGTAGAGATACCATGCACACCTGCATTTTTTTACCAACACAATAATATTACAAACTTTGAAGAAGATGAAGATAAGAATCATGATCCAAGCTTATGCAAATCAAATGACATAGTTGAGTGATGAAATTTTTTGCAACAATGGAGACGAAGGAAATGGATGAAGGAAACACGACGGAAAAAAAAGAAGAAAATAGAATTAAAAATTTGAGATTTATTTGAAATATCATATGTAATTTAGGTGTTTCCTAATTCAATTAAATTTTTTTTAATTAAAAAATTCATATCAACTTAATACATCTACACGAATGCGAAAGAAAAAAAAAATTAAAAATTAAAACGTAACACTTAGCAATGTCACGTAAACTACTAATAGAAGAAGTTAATATAGGTCAATGTTTTTGATAGAAAGACTTTTAGTAGAGGTGACAATTGAATTCATTAAGGCAAAATTCATTCAATCCATCCATCAAAAAATCCATCCAATCCATCCACCACATAAAAAATAAGTTAATGGATTGGATTAAATACATCTATTTATATGCATGGATGGATTCGATTCATCCAACATATTTTAAGGATCCAATGGATTATTTATATTTTTTAAAAAATAATTTAAAATAATTTTTTAAAAAATAATTTAAAATAATTTTTTAAAAGAAAATAATTGATTTTTTTTCCAATAAAAAAATCGATTTTTTTTTCGAAAAAAATAAAGACTTTTTTTCTAGAAAAAATCAGTTTTTTTTTCCAAAATAAAAAAACTGATTTGTTTTCCGAAAAAAATCGATTTTTTTCCGACAAAAAAAATTGATATTTTTCAAAAATTAAAATATCAGTTTTTTTTTCTTGAAAATACAGAAAATTTAATTTTTTTCATTAATATATTAAAAAAAAAATTTTAATACAAAAAATGAAAATTTCAAAAATAAAATAAAATTGATTTTTAAAAAAAAAAAAAAAATACATATAATTTTACGAAATAAAAAAAATTGGATGGATGGATATCCATCTATTAAAAATATGTTAATGGATGGATTGGATTGGATAATTTTAAAAAAAAATTAGTGGATTGTTAATGGACTGAATCCATCCATTAACAATTCTATCCATCTATTTTGTCACCCCTAACTTTTAAATTATCAAAAATTAATTAAAAAAATTAGAGAAATTAAAAATGAAGTTTGATATACTTAAATGGATCATAAATTTATTTAACTCTTTTAATTATTTTATATATAATTAGTTTGTAACAAACAAACACACGAAGCTCTATTTTATTTTATTTTGTTTTTATTATTGACATCACATTCAAAAAATTTATTAAGTAAATTTGGATTGAAAATATTTTTTATACATTAAAGTAATTATTATAATAATTACTTAAATTATTTATTTCATTAAATAAAATAATTAAATCACTTTGTCATATTAGTACCTTTAAGTTTAGTTTTTTTGTTGTACTTTTCACCCATTACCCTCTTTTATGTTTTTTCTTCCTATCCGCATAGAAAGAAGGTAAACAACAATAATTTAAATTAAAGCATTTATAGTTTCTTATATATATAAAGAATTATGGTTATAGTATTACAAACAACCGTGTTCATAGTAAAATATGGACGATTTTGACGCCAAAAGTCATCCAAACTGGAAAAAAAAAACGTGCAGTTTGGTTTTGTTTGATTTACTTTTATAATTAATACCAAACCAAATCAATGAGATTTGAGTTGATTTGTTTTTTACGAGATTTTTATTTACTCATACATACATATAGGACATAGAACACATCATATCTTTGTATTTAGTCCTTCATACATTAATAAATACTACAAAACTCATTATATTTGGACAACAACTTTCTATTTAATATACAAAAATTAAATTAGACAAAAGTGGAATAATAAATATAAAATAGTAGCATAAAACAATATCAAAAATATTATAATGAAATAGAAAAAATAGGAAATGAGAGATTGCAAAAGATGAAGAAAAAAAAGAATAAAAGAGATGAGAGACTAAAGAAGAAGAGATGCGCTAACAATATAATTTTGGAAGAGAGAACATTAACATTAAAATGAGAAGATGAAAAATAAAGAACATAATAGAGGAGAGATTAGAGAAGAAGAGCGAGATGTACCTGACAAAGAAGATGAGAAGAAAACGTAATACTTCTAATAGGGGTGTTTAAATCAAAATTGATCCAAAAAAATTGAAAACCGCAAAAAAAAACCAAAATTTATCATCTGCGTTTGGATGTCATTTTATGAAAACCGTTCGGTTTAGATCGGATTTCAAATCGATTTTTCAAAACCGATCCAAACCGAACTGAATCGCATGTATATATTATGATATTTATTTATTTTTTATTAGCATGATATGTTACGTTAATTTATTATTTGATGATATTATGTTATTTAAATATTATTTATTTTTATTATTTTATTTATTTCAATTATAATGGATGATTCTTATTTTATAATATTAATTTTTAATATGTTATATATAATATATTATATCAAACATATAATTTATTAATACTTTTATAATATTAATAAATTTATAATTTATAATTTGAAGATCCAAAAATCGATTCAGAATGTAACGTAGTACATTTTCTTTCTCTAAAAAAACAAATAAACAATAGAGAAGAACCATTTTCTCACATCGTGAAGCAAGAAATAATAAACACAAGCGTATTAAATAGTTTATTCTCAAAACTAATTCCTTTCTTTCTCTTCTTTCTTACATTTTCTTCTCCAAGAAAATAAATTCCCACTGTGCTAGCTCTAAACAAACAAAAACTTCATTCCTTCTTCAACTTTTTTTCTAAGGTTCTTTTTCTTCATCTCTTTCTTATGCATGGCTAAATTCTTGAAACTTTTTACTATTTTTTTCTTGAGTTTGAGTTTGAATTTATTGTTTTACAGAAACTAATTTCATGGAAAAAAAGCAGTTAAATCTGAACCAGCCACTTTTATCAGTGAGGAGATTCACATCAACAATAGCTTCTGAATCAGATAACACTGATAATTCATCTGCTAAGGTACCATATCTTCCTTACAAATCAGAGTTCAGTTCAGTTCCGGTGAGAAATGCCGGTGCAGTTCCGTTTCAATGGGAGAAAACACCGGGAAAACCGAAAGATATATCAGTTATAGAGAGGGAAAAGGAGGGAAATGAGGAGAAGGGAGGGTTTGATTCGGATGACGGAGATGAGAGTTTTCAAGATGAGCGCGATACGATTTCTAGGACCAAATCGTTCTTCACGAGAAGCAGTATGAGTTCGGATGATCACGAGGTGCAAGTTCGACCAAATGGAGGTTTCTCGAGCGATGAACACGCTCGCGAATGCATGATTGATCGATTCTTGCCTGCTGCGAAGGCAATGATACGTGAAAAACCTCAATGTGCTCCCAAGAAATTTAGGAGTTCGATGAAGTCGTCTCTTCTTAATCAGTATAAACCAAAATTGGTGCGGTTTAGGGAAGGAGGCCTAGTCGAAAGCGATGATTCTGAAAACTTCACTACTAATACTACAGCTTGTGGACTATTTCCTCAGTTTCGCGTGTTGAATCCGATGGCAGGAGGAAGAATGGAGAACAAGGTTCAGAGTAATGCAGACTGTAGTTCAACTGTTTTGCCTTTTGAAACTCGAAAAGAGGTATTAGTTTGCCTCTATCGAATTTTCTTCTGAGTTATTATTTCATTTCGCGCGTGATTATCTAAATTTAACCTTTCTTATTCAGGAGCGAGCTAGAGCTTCTTATCAAAGGGGTTGCGGAGAATCATTAGTCTGTGAAAGTCCCCCTGTTGAGAAAACTCTATATGTTGATTTTATACATAGGACCAGATTTGAAACCGATCATAATGGAGACGATTTCGAGGCTTCGAAAAGAGATAGTGACATTTACGAGAATCTTTCGGTAGATTCTTTGCTCAAAAATAACCAAGGGTTGGATGTTGTAAATGTGAAGACAGCCTTAGAAGCTAAGTTTTCGCAAACTCTTGATTCGCCTTTCCCCGTTTGTTCTGAAAATCCTAACAGTGGTATGCAAGTGGGCTCAGAAAAGCTTGGCATCCAAGGAAGTGACTTAGGCCAGGACTCCGTATCGAGTTCAAGTCCAAAAATGGTTGAATGTGAACAAATAGATTATGAGAAACTAATTAAGGATTTCGACTTCGATGTAAAGAGGCAACCAGCGGCCAAATTGATTGATCGAGAACAAACAGTGGAATACGATAGGAAAATCGACTTAGAAAGCCAATGTGGCTTGACATTAGGCCATCAGGAGCTAACTGGTGCAACAAGCTTTTTCGAGATTCCTCTTATCCTTCCTTCACTGAAAGCTCCATCAGAGTCTTGGCTTACGCGTACCTTACCGGCGATTTCCACGGAAAACACATGTTCAAAGCCTAAGCCTTGTTGCAAATATGTATTCAAGACAGCATCATTGTATCCCAAGTCTTCTAATGTGCAACATGGTGTCATGCAGTTCCATGAGGTAATTCAGTACTATTCTCCTATTAAGTGCCATAGCTGAAATATTAATGTGTCAAATTAGTGATTAGTACATCAACTGAACTTCTACTAATATATTTTCCAGGAATTGGTAAAACCAATTGCAGAAGATTGAATCAGAGAAAAGGGTTTTATAAGTTGAATGCTTGCTAAAATGTACTACATTTTGGTAATGTAGTTTGTTATCATATCCTTCTGGTAACTCTGTAAATGAAACTTTACATCACTGTTCCGTTTTATGTATATATCTTGTGCAAATGTAATAAGTAGTTTCTATGAAAAGATGTTGTCTTTGTAAACTACATTTTTTTTCTTTAAGGTGACATGTTTCCAAATTAAAGATGTCGATGATATTATACTAGAGAGCATAGTCGTCTTTGAAGGTGTGCAAGACAAGATATCACAGAAATTTAAAATTTAATCAGTAATAATCTAAACAAAATCTCTAAAAATTTGAGAAGGTTCTACTAATGAGCCTCTAATTCAGAGTAAAAATAGTCTAGATCGAGTCGAATTTTATTTTAAATTGAAATTTAACATTTTTTAAAATTAAATCTAACATTGTAATAGGTTATTATTAGACCAGTTAAGTTGAAGATTTGTTGTGAACTGTTACACCAATTCGGTAAAACTGAACCGAATCTTGAATGGTTTATGCTTGTTCCCAAACTGAATTGTTATAAACATTCGGTGCACCGGATTTATGGCTCTTAATCGAATTGAAATTGGGTACAGAAAAATGAATTGTAGTTTTTTTTTCTAACTAATTCTGCTGCATTCATTTCTCAACCAACCTTAGGATATATATATATTTATTGCATAATAATGACATATCAATTCACCCACTTTTTTACCTTTACAAAATAAAACAATTTCCTTATTTAGTTATAACATATAAACCCTGGAATTTTAGGACCCTGATCTGAAATAGAATTATCTAGGCATTCACAGAGAAAAAAACCAGTGATGGCTAGAGAATTTCATGCTATACTTGGCGGTGGCAACAGAGATTATATTACAGGAATTTTATATTTGTTAGGAATTATCTTTCTATCTCTTTGTGTTTTATCAATCATCATATTTTCATGCGGCGACGACAACAACAACAATCAAAAGCGACGGAAAAAAAGAGACGGACGTGGTATTAGTGGAATTGGTGGCGACGGTGGTGGCGACGGAGGAGGAAGCGGTTACGGTGGAGGCAGCAATTAGATCCATAAGTTGTGCGGTATGGAGATTCTCAATTAGTTTTTTAGGGATATTCTCGATTAGGTTTGTACACAATTTTCTTATTTTGGTATGAAATGTATAAATGCAAATTACTATAAACTATTGAGAATTAGTTCGTAGAGTACTCATTGTTATTAATTTCTGCGGTGATTAGAATTATTGATAATTTGGTAATTTTGTTGATTTGGTTTTTTTTTTCTTTCGTAATCTCAGATCAAGTTTATGAAATTCATTGACGCTATATATTGGGTAATTTTATTGTGTAGAAGGAAAATTGAATCCGCCATGGGTGCTATTATTCATTCATGAAATCAGATACTTTGACGTCATCACCAGAAATTAAACCCGGTATAAAAACTGATATTGTTAGGTATGACGTCATCACCGGGAATCCAACCATTATTCAGGGTTGTGTCTATGAGTTTTCGGTGATTATTACCACATTGGAGGATTAGTTGTGTTATTCATGCTACTACTTTATTACTGTCATCATTTCAGCATACATTTTGTAATAACTTAGTTGTTTTTGTTGCTCTAAATAATATATAAACATATCTTTTGATTGGATTTGAGATGTAGTTTTACTTGCTACAAAATTTAATTTACAACATTCAACAACTTCATATATGTACATATACACAACTGTCTGCAAAATTCCTAAAAAGAAAGAAGAAAAAAACAGCAGGTACATGAATCTGAACAGAGAATTGGAAACACAGCTTTTGAAGTCCATAGAAGAGCTACATCCACTTTCGTTTCATTTATCGTGACGTGAACACGAAAACGCCGCCACGATCATCTTGATTATCCTTATCTTGATTTGCCCTCTTCTCCGCGGGGTCATTTGTTGCATGGATTTAGTCTTCTGTTTGTTTTCTCTGTAATCTGCTAACATTGGAGAGCAAATTGGGATGTCGAATTGCATATTTAGAATAGGGTTGAAGAACTAATGGTTTTGTTAATGTAGTAATTGGTACTGAAAAGGGAAGGGGATTGAATTGAAAGGGAAAAGGAAGGTTTAGAATTGCAGTGAAGATGGGATGCGAGTGAGGTTGCTATAAAGAGAGTGTGTGGGTGGGAACTAGAGAACTGTAGCAGGCGTGTTCACCAAGATTCGTATTTCTTTTTCTCTCTTTTTTTCTTTTTTTTCTTCAAGATTTGATTAAACGGTTTCTAAGAATGATTGGGATTTTGTTTATTCCCATTGTGCGCGTCAAATATTAAGGTAGGACAGTATGTCTCTATCGAAAGTAAAACAGATTTTAAAGCTCAAAAACATTTTCAAACAGATTTATACTTAACTCATTCAAAAAATACATGTAGGTTTCAATACTTCCATGTCTATAATTAATACATTAATGGTTTAAATGTACTCTTGTCCTCTACTTTAAAGGTTTTTAGAATTTAGTCTTCTATTTTAAAAACAAGTTTTTTATTCCTAAACTTTACATTTTAGATTTTCATGATTTGACAGTCTCATTAATGAAATGACAAGTGTACCATCCACGTCATATTTAATGAATAATTTAATTCAAAGTATTTAATTTTAATATTAAAAAACAATTTTAATTTAAATAATAATTTTAATTAAAAAATTATTATAGCCTTTTAATGGAAACTTAGAAACACAAAATTGTAGTGGTGAACTCCGGTCGTCTTTTTCTTCCAACTTGATTGAAATTAAGTATGATTTATGTTTTCCATTTTCAATATTTAAATCCTAGTTTTCTTGCAAACTCATCTTCCTCCTTTAAAATGTCTCAAAAATCAGTTTCAAAAATTAGCTACAAAAATCGTTCATTGAGGTACGAATGTCATTGTAGTATGGATGTTCCATTGATGACAGCATGAGCTGATTCAAACCTAGGACGTCGTTTCTATGGTTGCGAGATATATAAGGCACGATTTCGTTTATGATTTTTTTGATGCTCTTCTCTTTTATGTTATATCATCAGTTATATTCCATTGGTTTCTCCAGATGCAAGGTTACAAGAAGTGTAGCCATTTTGTTTGGTTGGATGAATAAGTGAATCCAAGAGCAAAAGAAGTTATTTTCTCATTACTGCATAATTTGAATGATGAGAAGCAAAAGGTTAAATATTCCAACATGAAAGATGAAGAAATTAAATTACCATAACATCATTGTACATACCACATTGTACATACCACGGTTTATACCATAACTTGTTGATTTACATAAAATAGACCATAACTTGACTTGATTATGAAATGAAATTATCATAACATCACTATAAATTCCATAACATTTGATACCATAAAAGCAGTTAATTTGCATAAACCTAGTTGATATTACATCAAAAGATCATAACAGGCCATATTACAACTTGTTCATACCACTTGATATCCAGTTTCAATCTGGTTTCACTTGTCTTTTTCTTTTTTTTTACCATCCTTATTGGTTTTTTTTCTAGTTTTCTCCCTTTGGTATTGCTCTTTCAGCTGCTCGTTTACACTTACTATTTCTCTTATTATGAGTCATTTTTCCACATTTCTTACAAATAATTGTTGCAAGTTTCCTTGAAAGCACATAAGGGTTCTCTAGCTCATCATTTGCCTTGTTTCTCAGCTTCTTTGGACGATCAATTGCTCGTCTCATAACAGGAGAATAAATTGGTACATGATCAACTATAGGCCACAATTGTGGTCTATTTGTTGGAAATACAATATTTGAGTAGGTATTCTCAAAGTTGACTTCTCGAAATAATCATAAACCTAATTAATGATACATACCATACAAACCAATAAATAATCAAAGAATGAAAAATCTTAATCATAGTTGTAATACCTAGCCACATAATTTTTAGGTTGTTTTTAGATGTTCTAAATGCATGTGATGACATGACAACATGGTTGAAGGTAACGAAAACACAAGAAATAGGGGGTTTGAATTGAGTTTCTAGAATGAAAATCTTTTGCTACCCAGAACAACAAGAAGAGAACTTAGAATAAAAATAATGAACACACGTATTTTTATCATGGTTTGTTGTTAACGAAACTACCTCCAGTCCATCCATCAATGTGATTTCGCCTTATCACGAGGACTTAATCCACTATAATCAAACTAGATTACAACCACAAAGAAAAATTATAAATGTATTCTTGAGAATTTTTGACTCTACCCTAGTCTCTCAAGGAAATACAACTCAAAAGTTGAGAAACAAAATATGATATAGAGATATTTCTATGAATGCAGATCACACAAATATATTACAAAAATTTACACACAAAAATATTTTCTATGAAAGTGTATGAACAAAAGTTTCTAGCGTGTATGATTTTCTTTCTCTCAAAAGTTTCACACTATTGCAATGTTCACATAGTAACTCCTAGGGATGGCATCGGGGGCGGGGCGGGGGCGGGTTTAACTATACCTGCACCCGCCTCCATGTAACACCCGCCCCCGCCTCCAAATCCAACCGGGGGTACAAATTTACCACTCAGACCCCCGGTAGAGAACGGGTGCACCTACACCTGCCCCGCCCCCACCTGCAGAAAAAAATGTAATAAAAATTAATAATTTAATTTAAAAAAATGATTATTTTAATAAACTAATTAATTATTTAATTAAAATATTAATTAGTAAATGAATATTAACTTGATTAATTTGATTATTTTAATTGCAATAAGGACATTAATAATTTAATTAAAAATATAATTAAATATATAATTAATAAATAAATATTAAAATAAGTAAAATAAGGAAATTAAAGTAAAATGCATTATTTGGGGGCGGGGCGGGGGCGGATGTGGGCGGGTCTTAGTGTCTATCCGTACCCGTAGTTAAGAACCGGGTTTCACCCGCACCCAATTAAATCAGATTTCCCCCGTTAATTTTGGGGCAGATCCGGGTTTGTTTGTCATCCCTAATAACTCCTTTTATGCCATTATTCTAAGTCTTCTTTATATATGAAATAGAAAGATGTGTTGGAGGGAAGAAATGGAATTCCACAAGTATTTGTATCCTTGCACAACGATTTGTGAAAATGGGAGACAAAATGGTACAATAGTACATTCCTTTTCCAACGAAATCAGTGTAGTGGAAAGAATTTTGAGCTTGAATTGTGTATTATTTTCTCACGTAAATCTTGTTGATATTATCTTCAAATATTTAGAGGATTCAAAAAGAGAGCTGATGAAGGATGCATAGAAGAATCAAAGTCTGTATGAGAGAGTCTTGATCTAGATTCTAGTGACACAATTCTTCAGGGTTATTGAGCGCAAGACTTTAGAGCTTGATAACGTTAGAGGTTTCTCTTATCAGAGTCATAAACTAAAATTTTTTAGATGAGCGATGATCAGAAGCATCGAGTAGAGTAATTTGGATCTTGGTTATCTTTGTAGAGCACACACAATTTTACTTCTTTGAATCAAAGTGCACTAGGTTCAGAGTCTGGTGACATCACATGTCACTTTCTCAGAATCAGAACTTGTTTCTAGTAACTGCACACTTAACAAAACCATTAGGGTACAAAATTGTTCTTTAAGAACCTGTGTATTATTATCATCAAAACTTAAGGCCAAATACCAAACCAAATCTTGTTCTTACAATCTCGCCCTTTTAGATGATGACAAAACCATGTATTTTGATGAACAATTTTTACTTTGTGTAGACACACAAAAACTTATAAGAGTAAACTAGTAAGACCCCCCTGAGTTTTATATTATCAAAATTTTCTTGACTTATTCAGAATGAAGTTTGTAGAATCCCCTTGAGTTTAAGATTTGTGAAAAATTTTAATACATAAAACATTTTAATTAGCATCAACGTAAGAACTTCCATGTATGAGAGTCTAATTAAAACTTCTTGTTTCTTTATATCAGAATCTGACTTGTATCAAAGCTTGATGAAGCGTAGGAGCTTGTTTCAATATTAAGAGATATGAATTTTTAATTATTGGTTCATAAATATATAAAAAAATTATGGATAGCCTTACTAGTAACACTAGTGAACTTTTTTCAAA